AGGAGCAATTATGTCAGGCCTTCGATTCCTCCTACTAGTACCTGTACGGTCTGTTCGGTGTATGTGTGCGACTTCTACGGAAATGGTCCGAGTGGCTTTTTATGCGTTTTGTGCTGTGTAACAGCAGTACAAAACGTATAGTCACAGGGTTGTCTACGTGTGTGTATGTGTGTTCGCAACTTCCAATTCGGGAACCACAAAAGGTAGGAAGCTGAAAATTTAGGGGAATGTCCCCCACCCACGCAAATTTCGTGATCCCGCAAATTCAAATTCAGCTTCCTCGTACCCGCGAGTAACACGTATGGCCCCGTGAAAGTTTTTTTACAGGTAAATTAATATCTCGGGAACCAGGAATCTAGGAGGCTGAAATTTTAAGGCAATGACCCCTTGCCCACGCTCAACTTTGTCCATTTAAATTCAACTCTCCTGCACCTGCAGGTAACACGTATGGCCCCGTGAAAATTTCTTTACGGGTAAATTAATATCTCGGGAATCGCGGAGTCTAGGAGGCTAAAATTTTAGGATACTGACCGACTGCACACGCTCAACCTTGCCCATTCAAATTCAGCGTTGGTGCGTGAAATTTTTAACTGTTTTCCAATATTTGAGCTATTTTTGCATAGACTAAAGTACAAAGCAATGAAAATCATTAATAGGCAATCGTTCGATGGTCTGAATTGTACAAAACGCATGATCGCGCCGGCTAGTCTGGTGCGGGTTGCCGTTTATTATTCTTTCACCAAGTCCAACAGATTTCGCGGCGTCCATTGCTGCCAGCAAGGTGAGCATGCCCTTCCCAATGGATTTTACTTTCTCATGCGGTCACAACCACATCCTGTACGCCGTCTATGTAATAGAAAATCTGTTTACTAATGTGGTTATGGAGAGATATTCAAAGAAATTACAGACCAAAAGGCTGTATTTACTAAATCAAAGTTCAGTTATTCATATAAATGCATTAAAATGCTACCTCTGAAAAAAATTCGATCCTCACATGGGGCAAAACCGCTCGTTTCCCGATCGCTTTTATTCCATGAGGAATCCGTCCGGCCAAAATCTGTTCCGCCAATTGAACGCTCCGGGAGATTATCTGCATTTTGCTTATACATGCCACCAAAACTGAAATTTGCCGTAACTTTTAATGCCATGCAAAAAATGGGCTTTCTAGCACGTTTCGTTCGATGAATGCATTACCTGGGACCGTAAGGCTGATTGGTGACACCGGGACTTTCCAAATGTTCATATGAGTAGCGCCGTTGTTCGAAACTCCCCTCACCGACCTCACATGGATGAGTGAATCTACTTTCCTGAAACAATTAAATATATCAAAAACAAGCTGATGCAAATCGACTTTACCACGCATGTGCCCAAATCACATTGTTGAACGATTAAAACATGGATACGAAACGTGGCCCCTGACGAAAACAAGACAGCAAATGCTACGACGGCGAAAGAAATGGAGTGAAAAATGCCCGGCGACTTTATAAGCAAACCAGACCCGCTGATATGTTAATATAGCTGCGAATCAGCTTTTTCGTAACACTATATGCAACCAGGCCCTCTGTCAGATAATCTTATAGGTTAACGTTGCGATTGCTAACTACAGGACAAATACACGACAGTTTTTTGGGCTTTTCAACAAGAGCTCTTCTCTTTTCCTACTTGCTGTTTAAAACGTAATCTTATTAAGAATACAAGACGCTGAACAATCGGCGTAGAAATCCCATGTTACTAATGTCACAGAGATGACTGGAAAGAAAAAAATTGATGTAGGATTTCCATGTTACTGTTGTTATTGGAATGCTTTAATAGATTGGGCGCAGCTATACCAGGCCTTTCGACCCACATCTATTACTCAATAGATAGAATGGAATG